TATATATATATATATATATATATATATATATATATATATATATATATATATATATATATATATATATATATATATATATATATATATATGTATATATATATAGAAATTTATAATGGGGAGGTCTACAGTTTACAGTTTGCATATAATCTGGAAAATAGAACTCTATAGAGATCAACATATTGCGCGTATAATGTGACTGTACAACTTCATTCTTCCTTGTGGGTCAGAATGAGTCTTAGTCTTACCTTGATAACTTCCAGAAACATATTCAACTCCTTATACTAACATGTATCACTACCAGTCAGTTTGATTTGCTGTATAATACAGTGTACAATTGCTTGGAAAAAGACATCCTTTCCAAGACAATATTTTTCGAGCTCATCGATGAAGTTGTATTGGATGGACGATTGCATGATCCACCTCCTGGACTAGTTCGTCTTTTGTCTTGATTTATTGCGTTTATCTGCTTATGAAATCCATTGTTTCTTTCTTCTATTTTGTGAATGCCTACGTCACTCAGATTTATTATGATTTATTGCAAATTTTCGAGAATCTTATCCGACTTTTCAGAGTAAGGTTACACAGAAATTAATATTGACGTTTGATAGCGGGGACTTATTGAGAAACATGTTTCATTGATAGTTAGAGATGATTCCGTCGATAAAAGTGTTCATTTTAGGTCTCCGATTATTTTCATCATTTGATATCAGAAGGCAATTTAAACCAATTTGAAGCAGCAATAGTGCGTATTCCAGTTGAAAAACAGGACATTCATTTTGTGTTAACCACTTGCAGGAAAAATAGGCTTTACGATGGCGTCATATATGTTTACAATAAGGCAATGTCAGATTATATAGGACCACTCGAGGTATAGGACCACTCGATGCATGTTTTGGTCGTTGCCTATTTATATTTCACTGCTTTTTCCCTCCTTAATTAAAATTGGCAATTCCTTGAACAAATTAAGGCATACTTTAAATAATGTCTAAATTGAAGTTTTGTCACTGAATATTACAGGAGATATTTGATCATTTGGCGGAGCTTGTCGACTGTGAAGTGTTGTCAGATTGCGAAATAGCACTAGGAAATAAGTTATTATTGTATATTCAATGCTGCCTATCGGGTAGAGCCTACCCATTTGGATCTTTGCCAGAGAGGGTTGTTACGACCCTTCCTTTGCAAGTGTATCGCTGTTTGATTTCCTACAAAGGCAAGAATGGCATATCGGGTAATTCTCTGTTTTTCACTACTTCCCATTCATCCATTAAAGGATTTACAGATTTATTTTCTGGCATCTATTTTTCAGCATCGGTTATATATCCATATCTACGACTGCTTATCAAATTTGACTCTGTTCAGTTCTTTAACGTCATATTTACATGCTCAGACAGCGATATTTTTAATTCAGAGTAAGTATATTTCTATTTAACACCAAAAAAAACGAGTGATAAATGCACAGGAGAGTAGTGATAATCTGTTGTACATTTTTGAATATCATGTTTGGTATTCTGAGAATAAAACTTAGTCGAACACATTCGATGGCTAGCAATGCAGTTTCATACTTGATTCACTAGTTTTTTTTCTGAGAAGAAAAATCATATTTTATTAACTGCTGTACCTTATTGACCAACATAAAATAGAGCTTACCCATTTGCTTCATACTGCCGGAAAATGTGCACTGTTATGCTGCAAAACTGTTAGTTGTTAACAGTCCGAAATGTTCCACTTAGATTTTTTGGGAATCGAACAATTTGTAATCGTGCATGATGCCTATCAATTCGCTGTTCCTCTTTTTTTCTCATCTATTTAAAGCAAAATTCTATAGTTTTAGAGATGGAAGATTACAGAGAATCACGGAGGTGATTTATCAAATAATTAATTCGATGGATCGAAGCGCAGTACTCTTCATCAATTATTTCACTCTTGTCGCTCATTTGTTACAGAAAAAAGTAATTTTGCCAGCACTTGACACCATCAGCGAGGTTTGTTTTGGTCAAAAGTCTTTCATTACAGCTGCGATTGATGCATACTCGAAACTTTCGTGTCTTTGTATTATAGTTGATCGAGATGGTACTATCATTTGGTGAGTCTATTGAGCGGTTTGCAGATGCTGAGAGATGTGTTGTGGAAGTAATGAGGACTGTGAGTGGCCTCGATGAGGTGAAGATACTGTTGCAAGCCAAAAAATTACCTCAGTATGTCTCTTCTGTTTTTGGACCAGTTGTCTTCATCTTATCAGAAACGTCTTTCACTTCGCATAAATTACCGAAATACAAAATCTATAATCGGAGTTACACCAATTCGTTTCTTGATTGCAGTAGGCACAAATTTTTCGTTGGTCTCATTAGAGTATTTTTAGCTTGCAGGTCTGCTCACACATTTATATAAACAGGCGGGAATTCGTCAGTTTGGTGGAGTGTTATCTAAGTAACCCAGTGAATGCAGTATGTTATTTCTTTTTGTTCTCTGCAATTAATAACTATCGGTATTTTTCCTGATATTTCCTGCTGAAACTTCACTGAACACGCTTTCATGAATTCGAAATAATTAAATAATTGTGCATATTTTCATGCGCTTGTGTTTCCTCTGGTCAGAACATTATTGTCAGAATTGCAAAGCGATGAATTATCAAAGTTGCGCTCGTTTTTATGGATTTCTCTAGAGGTATTTTAATTCTGATTTACTCAAATTTCAATTAATGTTTGGGTGTTCATATAAAGCTTTAAACAAAGCTGTTTGTCACTTGCTGTGATTTAGTCTAGCCACTTATTTATCTTCTTTCACAACTTTTTTCATCATCCATCGCTTTTTAGAGGTTTGGGAGTTGTCGGGTGTTTTGTTTTTCTTTATTTTACCAATAGTTAATTTCCACTTCATTTTCTCATGAGATAGAAGAGTGTTATAGAGGTTTGCAAAAATCGATTATAGCCAGACAGCCGAAATTATTCTTGATCACTTTACGGAATGGTTATCCAAGGAAACCTTGAAAGACATTGATGCATTATTACTCTATTATTACTGCTTTCTAGCAAGGTTTATTTTGTTTTCGTTGAATATCTTCAATACATTTTTTTAGTTATATATTATTTTTCAATCTGTTATTTTTTAATCATACATTATTCTCTAATATATTGTTTTCTAGTTAGGGTAATTTTATATTTTAAAGAACTGTTTTTTTTTGAATCTAAATGGATTATTGATAACTACAGTTGAGAGACTGGTGAACACCGGTTTGTGTTTTAGACGTGATCGTGGATATCGAACTTTAACGGATTTTGAAGAACGTGATGAGCAGCTTTTAGTTCTTGCTGTAAAGGGAGTTGTAGCACATAATTTATTTGAGAATCTGGACACGGTAATCAAATTTTGTTGCTATTCTGCGCTTAAGAGTGTATATCTTGTTTTCCTCAATAAGGAATATCAAATCAAATGTCTATTTCAGCAGCTGAGCGAGTTTTTACGTTTTTGGGTGAAGATAGCATCGAGAACAGATCGATGTTTGAATTATACAGTTCAGCATGGACTTATTTTATCAAGTGTGTTACTTCTGGAAGCCAGAAAACTTCTAGAGGGGGCTTTCGAAGTGCTTGACAATGAGCTTGAAAAAGTGTGGATGAAAAACGCGATGCTGTCATGTAAATTTTCAATCTTCAAGTTGTAAAATTGAAAAGAAAAAATGTAGGAAAAATTTAGTTCATGTGCTTCAGCGAAATATATTTACGAATCAATTCGTTTGGCTAATATTTATCGTGAAGAAGCTCGACAAGGAAACTGGCTTTTCAAAATACTGGACAGAATCCTTTCACTTCCAGGATCAGAGCTTCAGGAGGAGTCAGGTGAAATCTAATATACTTCGTTAAAATAAGCTTGTTTTTAAACAATCTCTATGTTTTTTGTAGTGCAGCTATATTATTTACTCATCCAATATTATTCTGCTTTTGATATTTACAAATGATTTAACCGCAGTTTTGAAGTTGAGGTATCCTTACTTCATACCTTTGTTACGTTTTCAGTGTATCATAGAAGAATATTGAAAAAGGGCATAATATCGCAAAATATTACATAACAATTTGTTGCTCTATATTACACCGAGTTTATAGTTTTTTCTCAGTAATTAATTCGGACTCATGTTTTCTTGTCAAAGTTATAAACAACTGATGTGGCAGAAGCTTTCTAAATACAAAATACGATATCAGATTTTGAAGGTATGATGGTGGTATTAAACGACATAATAGCTACAATTATGGGAAATGGAAGTAGTGATGCGGAATATTTGGTTGACGCATTATTTAATCATCCAGTATTTCGGTACCATCTTATATCGTCCTTTTTTTGCAGAAAGAAGATAATATTGTTGAATCCCTTCAAAAAACGAGGTCTTTCAGATCATTTTAATCAGAAAAAAATTACAGATGTTCAACATATGCGAAATTCCGTTCACTGATAGCATTCATGTTTGCATCGTGTCGCTATGAGGATGTACTCTTGAAAGAAACCGTACGATGCATCGAAAGGGAGACCGTACAAATGTATCTCCTTTTGGTTTTGTTTCGCATAATTAACTGTTTAGATTACAATGGAACTCGATTGCACTTGATAATTATCAAATATGGTTAATAAATAAGACATATTTAATATATGTTTGCATTGCCTGGATCCCATTCGTAAATTTCGCACGGTTATGGATACAAGCAGATAAAAGTTTTCTTGCTTTCTTAGATTCTAGTAAACAGATTTTTAGGTTAAACGATTTGATAAAACAGGCGACAGGTCGCACTGCTGGCTTGATAACATCGAATATGTGCATTAACTGTGGACGCTCACCAAGGAAATCGTCATATCTTTACAGGCACGTTTTATGATTTCTGTTTTAGCATTTTTTCAGGACGATGGCTTTGTAACTCGTTTAGACCGTGCATATTTGGAGAGCATCAATATTTGTGTACTATATTTGTGTACTTTTATTTATATTTGTACACATATTTGTGTACTTTTTTTGACTTTCTACATACCAGAATTCATATTTAAAATTTTAGTTGCGGCCATATGGTTCATATGGAATGTGATTCCCAGAACAGTTCACATTATTGTCTCTGTCGAACAAACGCCTTCAGTTGTTATAATATTACAAACAACTTGAGCTGCATGCCTCGTCAAGTGATTCGGAAACCAATGAGAGTTAATATCTTTTCGGAAGAGTTTCTGAGGTTAATGCTGGGACCAAATAGACTAGAATCTTAGGTTTTGCCATTGTATTGTATGTCGTGAAAAAAGAAGAGAGTAAAAAGATGAGGAATACTGTTCTTGTTAGTTGTAAAAACAGTTAAGATTTTGAAAGAGTGACTCAGTGAATACCGGTTTTGTTATGTGTTCGAGGAGTATAGCAGTTATCCTTTATTGTTGTTCGGATACCAAATACAATAAAAATAGGTTCGAACTAATTCCGATTATAGTAGAATGAAGTCCAGAATAATACAGTAGAACGACGGGAGAAATATGGAAGTAGTAATTTATGAACGGAGAGAAGAAATGAAGATCGTGTTGAGTAGAGCCGAGTGGCGACTTAGAGAAATTAACATTGGATCTATGTTAAAATTTCTTGTGGTTTATATATGGTATGTGTGAAGAGGAAGTCTTTACAAATTGACAGTATTCTCACAGCTGCTAGAGAAATTTACATATAAGAACAGTTTTCTTTAGAAAAAATTTCATAAAAATTATTTTATCTGATGTACAGCTTTCTCACCATTGTATAAAAGATTTTGCATGGCATAAAGCCTTTACAAATTAATTACCAGATGCGCGCAAATCTTAACATCAGACAAGGCACTTTTAGAAGATTAGAAGATTAGGTAGCTTACCCATGACTTTAAGCATGAGAAAAAATAAATAAATGTAAATGCGAACTATTTGAATGGATAATTATATGATATAGCTATTTCGGTTTTTCCGACATTATATTCTTATGATTTAAAAAATATTTTGCGTCATACTGATGGGAAGTGAGTGTTCAGCTTAGACCACTACTATACGTTCATCTGCTTACGTATTGTATTTATGAAGACATCTGAGCTGTACGTTCTCGATGAATTGTCTTAGAAATTTTAAAAGTGTTTTATAAAATTAAAACAAACTTGGGGATCATGTAATATTATTCGGCGTTCCTTAGGTTCTCTATGTTTTGGATCCGGTTTAATATAGTAACTTCTTTACTTGTTTTGTATTATTGATCAGCTGTTCCACCAGTGG